CCCTCTCCGCGGGACGGAAGCCGGGGTGGGGGGGGCACTAAAATGGCTGCCTCTCCCCTGCTCTGTGTCCCCTTCTAGAAGGTTCCATGGGCAGAAGGCTCGGTGTCCAGGCACCCCTCACCAGCACCACCCTATCTGCCAGCTCCTAAAGTGTTACAGCACACTAGCAGCATATTTCCTCTTTCCCTTTTCTTTTTAATTGCACTAGAAGCAGGAGCCAAATTTTAGGTGGATAATCTCGACGTTGTTGCAGTGGGACAAGAGCAGAGGACGTGACAGTAGGCCATGGTCACTTGCTGGCAGGATGCTGTTAAAAAGTGCTCCTTGCTGCTGCTCCACCGCAATTTAATGTTTTGGTTAAACTTGGGAAATTTTGGCATAAAGCACCTCTGTATAGGCAATTAGTACAAGCCACCTAATGAGCTCAGTTATCTTTTATCTACCTCAGTGCCGGCTGCTTTGGGGAGCAGGTCAAGATGCCCCTCATGACTACAGAACCACTGCATCCCCGTGGAGGGCGTTTCCTGGCAGGCTTTTAGCAGGGCAAGGCCCAGCTGTATGTCCCATCCCATCAGCTGCAAAAGGTGCCAGGAATCCTCCACTGCTGCCTCCTCAGAACAGGCCCTGAGGGGGTGAATCCTCTGCCTCAAGGGGAAGAGGGACCTGCCTCTCCTGCACCTGGTGTCCATGACCACAAACCCCACTGAGCACCTGCTGGCATGTTTGGGTGTCCTCTTGTCAACTCAGGAGTTATTATTTTTAGCAAGGCAAGATCTGTATTTGGAGGATTAGACACTTCTTCCAAGCTGAGCTGCAGAGAACAGCACATCCGCAGGCTGCACACCTTCAATAGCAGTGGGGAACAAGCTCCAACAACAACAATGGATTTAAGCCATTTACTGAGAATTTTTCAGCAGTTTTCATACTATAAGGCTGGGACAAAATCATGTGAATTAGCCTCCTCTAGAGCTCCACTGTAAGGCTTGTGCAATATATAAAGTTACAGATACTGTCCTTTTTTTTTTTAAGAAAAAAATCCCTAACTTTTTAAGAGACTACAACAATTTATTCCAGAATATGCTTCCTTTTTCGAAAAAGCAAGAGCATACCCTGCACCAGGGCTGACCTGGTGGGCTACGGCCCCCTTTTTCAGCACAATATGTAAACTAAGTGCTTTCAGAAAGCATACTCTGCGTATGATTAGACACCAGCTTAATGAAGGCTTGTACCATGTTCTTCGGGATAGAGAACATTTTGAGGTGTCCTGAAGACTGGGAAGTTATAAAGTGGTTTGCAAAATTTACAATTACAGCAAAGGTTTGTCACTGTTGTTTCCTAATTGTTTATTTTGCTGGGAAAGCAAACAACGGCAAGAAGAAATGCCAACATTTCATTCTAGGAAAAGGCCACAACATACCACATTTATCTTCTGGTTCATTGCATGCTGCACTTGCATTAAAACTGCTATTGAAAATCTGGCTCTGAGGAGGACCTGGCAGGGATCTTCAGTGGCACCACACCAAGACAGAACTGAGCGTAGTGGACTCTGAATGTTTTTAAGGACTCACATTCAAGACAGATTGCAATGTAGGGTTTTCCCCAAAGCAAAATGAACACAAGGCAGTACTACGTATTGCTTGAGGTCCCAAAACAATCTGAATGTTCAGATTCCAGTAAGTGTAACTCAACAGTTCAGCTTCCTGCAGTCATTACCATTGGGTAATCCTACAGAAAATGGACATAGCTGCAGTGTATTAAAAAGATAGCAAGCTTTTTCCTCAACATTTTTTTCTCCAAATGCAACCCATTGATTTTAGAGCTGTGACTCGAGACCCATCCAAAAGAATGGAATGTAAAGGTGAATATTACCCAAGATATCAAACTGTATCTTCAGGCTGATGAATATTGCTGGGTGGCTCCTAGAGGGGACACGTGGCTTGCTTGAGATGGTGTCAAGAAGAAAGTAGGGACAGACAGTCAGGGACTGGGCAGCAGCTGCAAACAGGCAGCAGCAACTGAGAGCAACCCTGCTGCATGCTGAGAGAGAAGACTGGAGCGACAGGCACAAGCTGGAACACAGGAAGTTCCATCTAAAATATGAGGAAAAACTTCTTTACTGTGAGTGTGACAAAGCACTGGAACAGGCTGCCCAGGGAGGTTGTGGAGTCTCCATCTCTGGAGAGTTTCAACTCCTGCCTGGATGCAATCCTGTGTGATGTGCTCTAGGTGAACTTGCTTTAGCAGGGGGGTTGGACTAGATGATCTCTAGAGGTCCCTTCCAATCCTGATAATTTGCTGACCTCCTACCCAGCATGGAGACTTCACAGGGGTGCTGCTGGACAGGGGTAACCAGGAGCCCTCACATCACATCCTTTTTGCAGCCCAGATGCATGCATGAGATCCAAGCGTTCTAGGCTGGGACCCCAGAGGAATTTAGGCATCAGACACTCTTTTCTTCACCCAAGAAGAGCCTTCACTAATCACAGCTGAGGCCCCAAGTCTCAAACCAGACTTTCTGTGGGTCAACACAACTACCCATCCTGACACTTAGTGACCCTTTGTGGGATCCCAAGAAATCTGAGGCTTTGGCTGCACAGAACTGTCACAGTTTGGGCCAGGAGAGAAGAGGAGAGTGGAGCACACCAAGGCCTTGCAAAAATGTGTCACGTGTTGGGACGGGTTTCTGGGGGAATGCACAATGCTGACTGTCAATCATTACTAGTATTTCGTTGCAATACAGCTGTGTTGAGGATGGGGTGGAACAGGCACTTCATATATGTGTGCAATTAATCAGTCTCTCTTATTGTTTCCCCTAAGCTTTAATTATGAAGAAAAAAAAATCTATGAAGAAAAAAAACGGGAAGTAACTGAAATCAATGAAAAAGTCTTATGAACATGCAAAGTTATTAGAGAAATACAAGGGTTTTAATTAAAGATGCTGGCTCCAAGCAAAAATGCTGGGTTGCCCTGATTGATCTAAGCTGCTGGTTCAGCTCTTTCTGTCTCTCCAGCCAGGCTCCCACTTGCCTTCTGCTGCTCTAATTGGGTACTTCCTGCATCGGCACCTTCTTTCTCTCAGCAACATCAGCTGCGCAAAGACTGTATAAATACAATTATGCTCAGGCCAAACTCCTGTACACATACGCAGTCATGGAGCATTTTACATTTGCTGAATGTGGATGGTTTGGGTTTGATTTAAGGGCTATTTGCCTTTTTTGCATTCCCTTAGTTGGGCCTCTATTTTTATTTAGATTTTTCTCTCTCGTTTCAGTTACATTCTCCTAGGACAAAGACCATAATCTGTCATTTTAACAAAATAATGTGTTCAATTTGTAGAAGTTTGAATTTCTTTTCATATGAAAAGTATTAAACCCCCAAACTCTTAACAGGCAACAACAGCAAAAATACTAACAACCTAATCATACATTTTCAAATTTGATTAGTAAATTCCAAAAGCACTTATTCTTGTGGGTTAAGTGGTTTACATTCTATCTATTTAGTGGATGCCCAATACTCTTTGAAAAACAGATTCTTTTTTAAGGTATTTCTATTTTAGCCTTTCCTGAGACTGAAACAAAGAATACCGTCTCGCTTTTAAATGTTCAATATTAATATTTACTAATAAATTAATTATTAAATTAAAATGGACTGCTAACTGCATAAAACAGTACCCTGAAATTACATCTTCTCTAGCTTATTTTGAATTTCATATTAATTGGCTTTTTAAACATGTACATTTTCTCGTCACATTTGGAGAGACATTAGGATCGAGTTAGATGCATGTGGTGTTTCAGACAGTTAGAAGTACAGAGAGACATTGCTGGAAGGCAAAACAAGAAGAAGATAGGTAGACAATATTCACACAAAACCCAAAAGGATTTTGATTTTTTTTTACACATGTAATTTGAAATGAAAGACACAGATTAAGATCCTTCATATTTTATCCTTTCCCAGGAAAATAATTTAAATCTTATCTTGGGAGGGGGGCTCATTAGAATCTTTTGCTTCAGTGACTCCATTAAAAAAATATGAAATTATTAAAATGCAGACAGGCCTATGAGTTGTTTCTAGGAAGAAAATAGTTTGACACTGGGATGTATTACTGTCGAAGTGTTTTTTCTACATGTGTTTTTTGAAATATGCGCATCCCCAAGGTGACTAGGTTAAGGTACACACTATGTTTCTGATATCATTCATCCTATCTCCAGCTTGCATCTAGGAATAACACTTACGAGTTTGAAAGTCAGTCATGTTTTTTAAAGTCAGAAATGAAGGCAGCAAAAGCACAGTACCACTTGTATTTTTATGTTTTGAGTCTCTGCTCCTATTCTTTGCTTCAAACAATTTGCAGACAAATGCATTTAGTGGAAGTGCAATGAAGAAATGCCCATTGTCAACCTAATATTCAGTCTTTACCTTAAATCCTGCTGTTTACCCAAGGTGCAAGAAGAAATTATATGATATAAAATTAATGTCTGTTCCTGACAATCAGAAGCCACAGACTGTGCCTGAAGGTAAGAGGCTGTAGAGTAGCTATTGCAAATGAGAAATGTGTCATCTGTGTATCTCCCTGGAACTTAGATGGCATATGCCTTTCCATAGTCCGTTATTTTAAATCCACTGTTGTACCTCAGCCAGTCCCCACGTTTGGATTTGAGAGGGCAGTCACTGTGAAGGGAGAGAGAGCTGTCACTCTTGGAGCTAACCTACCATGCAGCTCTGCTAAGCTTCTAACTTCACAACACTGCAGATAACTTTTTCTCTCTCTGGTATTACTCCATTAATCCACCAAATCAGTTCACTTATCTGAGAGCATTGCTTTGTAGAGGTTGAGACCTGGAAGCTGATCCTTGCCACATGGACCTCTGCAGCCACACAGAGTCCAGCTGCACTTTCCTATTTCACATAAGGCTGGAGCCTCTGCTTGCTGGGGCCAAGGGTCCTACCATCCTTACGTAACGTAACTGCCAAGGTTTTACAATATTCTTGCAGAAGGTAACCACGTAAGGCCTGAATTAGTCTACTCAAGTTTGGATGAATTACCCAGGTTCTTGCAGAGTCACTAGTGTTAACAGACAAATAGGCTTCTCATTAGGACAGAAAGAAGCAGCTTTAATTCATTCTAACCTAACCATGATGTAAAATAATTTGGTCAGCTGGGGCTTAAGTCCCTTTCTATTATCTACTTCAGTACACAGCCCTCCTTGATGTAAGGAGGCTTTCTGAGCAGACTCCTTTGGGGATTTCATAAAGACTCCCAGCAAAGGAAGGAGACATTCTAGGTCGATTCAGATGAAGAAGAATCTGCTTAGTGTCACTGTACCTGGTTTGTCATGCACTTATTCCTACAACCTGTTTTAAAGCATTTTTAATCACACCCACAAATAAAGCTCAATATGAAAGAGTGACATAAGAACATGTTAACATTAGTGGAGCTGTAACTGTCACCAGCTTTGCCAGCAACATCAGCTGATGCTCCTGAAGGAAAAGAGGTACCCGGCAGGGCGGCAGAGCCCCCTCGCTTTGCCACGGACAGGTCAGCTTGGATTTCCTGCTTGTGCTCACTTGTAAAACATTCATGTCAAGCTGCCTGCCGTCTCTAATTTTATCTCTTGCTCCATGTAGTCCAAAAAAAAAAAAAAGACATACTTGCACTGTTCCTAATATTTCCAACAAAAAAAAGGTAGGTAATATTTGGATATCATCAGTTGATAGAGTGAGTGAGTTTGGTGTGCTCGCTTCAGAGCAGTTAATTTGTCACAATCCCTTCCTCCTATCTAAAACTCAGGTTGTAGGAAACAAGCACAAGCTAGAGCAGTGCCCTCCGGGGGAGATATCAGCGACCATTTCATTCACTAGGAAGAGCAACTCCAGTAAACGCAACCAGTTTCCATCCTCCTGAATTTCAAAGAAAGGAAATATAAAGGATAGCTCTATTCCCATACAGGGGAAAAAAGAAAAAAAGCTTGTAGGAAAAGATAGCTCTCAATTTCCTCCTCTTTTATATTTACTAATATTGTGACTACACTTCTAGCTCTGAGTGAGCTGAAAGCACATATGGAAGAAATTCAGTGAAGTTTTTTTTTAAATTCATTTTAATGCTCTCTAAATTCAAGAGGACAGACAGACATTGTGAACAACTCTTCACTTACTACTTCCTTCACCAAAAAACTATTACTCTCTCTTTCAGTACAACTCAAATACATTCTGAAGTTATTATAAAGAGAAAAATTCTGTAAGATAAATAATATTCCCAGGCTCCCACTGAAATTAACAGAGTATTTTGTGATTAAGAACTTTGCAGCATCAGGCTGCCATTAAACACCTCTAGATCTGCCTTGTAGTTTTTCTAATCCTCCAGTATTCATTTCAGTGTATTCCAAACTAAGCACCAATATTCTCAGGACTTGTGCTCTGTGTAGCCACCAACAAGCGAAAAGAAAATTCAAGTCAGCTTAAGTGTTTTTAGAAGCACAAGAGAGGAAAAAAATCATATGGGCAGGAGAAAAGCAGATCATATTTTGAAAAATTACGTATCTCAAAATTATAGTAAACTCAGAATTTCTATTATCCCTTCATAATTACAGGGGAAAAAAAAAGTAAGATCCCTGGTTATATTATTTTTCAGTCCTTTGTTTCCCAGAGTCTTGCATACTTACAGGTCTGGCAGTGATGCTCTGTGGGTCCCCAGCACCGGCCTGTACAGGACTTGTGGCATCGACCACCTGCAGGACAGAGAGAAAGAGAACGAGATTAGAAATGTGGCTTCCTTTTACTTCCTCAACATCCAGCAACTGCTGAAGAGGAGGGCCATCTTGTCTTTGGAGAGTTTTTATGCTTTACAAAGGCTGAAAGAGAGCTTGTAAGAAAGGCCCAGATAAATAGCCAGAACTGGTATCAAACAAAGGAAATGTGGCCACTTGCTGAAGTGCTTTATACCCTAAATACCTCCCTTCATGCAAAATGACTGGGACGTTTTAAACTAAAAAAAGCTGAACAAGTCTGGAGGACTGAGGAACAATTTCATCATCCAGTGCTATTGCACAGCACAGAGAGAGCAGTAGTAAGACTCATTCATTCCTCTACAGGAGAAGAGATTACTGTGCTAGAAAGGATATCTGTCTGTCTGTCTGTCTGTCTCTTGTTCAATTTCATCTGAACAATGGGACATCACACTCAAAGTGTCTTTGATTAAAAGCCACGCCTCTCTCCCAAGAGCTTACGTAGTCTTCGTGTCCAACACAACAGTAAAGGAAATGTGCCTTGTGCAGCCACCTAACCCCAGTGACAGCTAAGGGTCACAGGACCTTTCCTTTTCTGACTGTTGATTCTCCAGTTGCCTGCAGTTGTGCTTCTGAAGAAACCTCAAGTTCCTTCAGAAGTCAGAGGTGATGCTCCACCTCCTGCTCCCACATGCTGCCAGGTTAAAGCCTTCAAGAAAAAAACAACTGTAGTTGCTTTCATTGCAAAATACAGACAGAGGAGGAAGAGTTAGCAATGGTAGCCTTCATAAACTACATAGTAATTAGAGACTGAAACCCATTTGGACTGAAGATGGACTTTAGCTCACATATTTCATGGCTAAACTGTGCAAGGAAATGGCAAGCAGGCAGAGGGATCGGCACATTCTCCTCTGGCTGCATCTTAATTCATCTGAGAAAACACCTGGACAGTCCCACGCCAGTTCTGACTGTGAGCAAATGGAGGCCTCATTCTGCAGCTCCTAACCCAGATGCGTCCAGAGTTTAGCCACACTCCTGCTCTACATGTTTCTCCCTCCTGAATGCTGCGTGTGCCCGAACAGAGAGCCTGCCTGCCTGCACCCTGTGCCCTGGCTGCTAAAACCCTAGTGTGGCAGTGCCCGAGGCGTAAGCAACCCAGCCCTGTACCTGGTGCCAGGCCTGAAGGGATGAGCTGAGAAACCTGACAGAAGCACTGTTAGCGACTATGCACAGTCCTTACCGCTGCTCCTTTGACCGCAGGAACCTAACCTGATGCCTTTGACTGAACTTTCCCTCGTCACTGAATACTGCAGAGAATCTCCCATTTGAACGTGATCCAGAAGCTTACCTTTCACGCCTGTATTCACAGCAGCTGCTGCTAACCCCGCTCCATCATGCTAAATCAAACACTTCCCACTCGCCCTGATGGGAGACAGCACTGCACCAAGTGCAACGTGCCTCTCAGCGAAGGTTGGCTCATCCCCCTCGAAAAGTGCTCCTTGGCTAGCAGTGTGCTTACACCGATGAGACATGATACAGCTGAGCAAACCTGCTGCGCCAGTCGCATAAAATCGGACTTTCTGCCACTACTTTTTCAAAGCTAGCGGTCTTCCCTCAGCACTCGTGCAGCACGCACAGCACTACTGATCATGTTGGATGGTAATTACCACACTGTGTGCCAACTACTTTGTTAAACCTACCAGCTCCTTGCTGCATTCATGTTCATT